CTGCTAATGCTTTTCCTCCTTCTGATTCAAGATTATTGTTGCAAAGATACAAAGACTTCAGCGTGGTATTTTTGTAAAGTGCATTTGCTAATACTTTTTCAACTCCTGGTCCAAGATTATTCAAATTAAGATTTAAAGAAGTTAGCGTGGTGTTTTTGCAAAGTGAACCTGCTAATGCTTTTACCCCTTCTAATTCAAGATCGTTATAACTAAGATCCAAAGATATTAGTGTGGTGTTTTTGCAAAATACATCTGCTAGTGCTTTTTCTTCTCCTGCTCCAAAATTATTGCTACTAATAATCAAATTTTTTAGCATCATGTTCTTACAAAGTGCATTTGCTAATGCTTTTCCTCTATTTAACCCAAGAGAATTCATGCTAAGATTCAAATAAGTTAGCGTGGTGTTTTTGCAAAGTACATCTGCTATCGCTTTTTCTTCTTCTAATCCAAGATTATTAGCACTAAGATTCAAGTCATTCAATGTAGAATTCTTGCAAAGTTCATCTGCTAATGCTTTGCTAACATCTAATCCAAAATTATTATTGCTAAGATCCAAAGTAGTCAGTGTAGGGTTCTTGCAAAGTGCATCTACTAATATATTTCTAAAATTATTATATTGGTGATTCAAAGAAGACGGCATGGCATTCCCACATTATGCAAGTTTTAAATATTTAAGATTTTTACTTGCTCACAAAAACATTACAACTAAAAAGAATTCTATAACATTTACATGTTTATCTTTTTCGAAAAAATTTACATTATATCCTTCATTTTTAAGCCAATATTGGATTCCATTTGCCAAATTAAAACTAATAGATGTAGTATAACTTTCGTACTAAATAATAGCTTTGGATAATTTGGAAGAATTATTTTATAAGAGGTCAATAGATCTTTCTCTTCAGTATTTAATGCTAAAAGATATATTCTTATAAGTCTTTTGTCACCGAAATATTTTGTAGGTTTACTCCATAATATTGGTATAATAAGTTTATACCATTGACGGTTTACAAGAAGGCACGAAAATAAGGTTTTATAATTAGTTTGATAATTATCATTATTATAAATTATCCAAAATTATCCAAAATTATTAAATATTTCAATAAGGCATTCGTTCGGTAACATCATTTTGAATGAACTATGATTTTAGTATAACTGTAACCGTATCTATTAAGGGTAGATATGTTTGGGACGATTTTCCTTTTAGAACTAAGCAATTTTGTGGTTTTTTATTCTTTTATTAAAGATTGCCAGCGAAAGCCTAATTAGCTTTCTCTCTCTTTTACATATTTATACCGTATATTACAATACAATTACTTAATTATGACTCAATACAATTACTTAATTACAACTGAATACAATTACTTAATTATGACTTCAAATCGAACGCACAGTTATTATGATTTCTAATTACTCAATGTTCGATCATGCTAATGTGATTCCGACCTTATATCACATTTCACGTGATATACAATTGTTCTGTGAATCTCCGACATGTTCATTATATGACACATGCATTGTGCGATGTTCCTTTACACTCTCACCCATTTAAAACAGTTTCACCATTTTTTTTGAATTCTTTTACTAGATCTTTGTAATTTTCAAGATTAGTCAGGGGTTCTCAAGTAGCATCATATAGTGGATGTCCTTTCCATTTTACTAAGTACTGTAGGCGACGGTAGTATGTTCTCTTGTCTAGTATAGCTTTGACTTCGTGTTCTTCTGGACCTTCGGTTGCAATTTCTGGAGGTTTTTTTCTTACTTCATCTCTAAACTCACTAGGGTAGTAAGGTTTTAATAAAGATACATGAAAAACTAGGTGAATACGTAGTGTTTCCGGGAGTTTTAATCGATATATTACTGCTAAAATTTTTTGACCGATTTTGAAGGGTCCTATGAATTTTGCGATAAGTTTCTTTGATGCCCTTTTTGTACTTTTTTGTGGAATTATATTTGTCAAATTCAATAATACTAAATCTCCTTTATTTAATTCTAGATAACGTCGCTTTTTGTTAGCTTGATCACTTTGTTTCTCTTGAGCGTTTACTAACGAATCTTTTGCTATATTTATTATCTCGGTCCAATGCTTGAACAGTTCTTGTGCTGCTTTAATATTTGTTGAATTAACCTTTTCATTTGTTAGGCTTAATGGTGTCCTCAGATGGTGTTCGTTATCTAATTGGAATGGTGTATAATCCGTGGATCCTTGTAACGAATTATTGTAAGAAAATTCTGCGGCAGGCAAAATTTCTTCCCAATTGACTTGCTTGTAGTTTACATAGGTACGCAAGACTTCTTCGAGGATTCTGTTTGTAAATTCCGTTTGTCCATCAGTTTGTGGATATGCTGATATTGACATTTTTAACTTTGTTCCCATTATTTTGAAAAGGCACTTCCAAAATTTACTTGTAAATTTTGTGTCTCTATCGGAAACTATAAAATGTGGTAATCCGTGGTGTTTGAAGATTTCTTTGAATAAAATTTGGGTGACTTCTGCTGCTGTTGCGGAACTTCTGATAGGTATGAAATGTGCTTTTTTGCTTAATTTATCTACTGCTATCATTATTGAATTGTTCCTATTTCTTGTTCGTGGTAGGTGTGTTATAAAATCTATTGACACAATTTCCCAAGATTGCGACAGAATTTCTAGCAGTTGTAGCAATCCTGCTGGGGCTTGTGTCGCACTTTTGTTTCTTTGCAGCTATCACATTGTCTTACATATTTCTTTACATCTTTGCTCATTCCTTTCAAATAGTAACTTCTTCTTAATCCTTGTAGGTTTTCTCGAATCCGAAGTGCCCATTCAAGTCGTGGCTTTCTTTTAATAACAGTCTTCGTTCTTCGGATTCTTTTGCTATGCATAATCTTGGCTCTTCTGTTCCTTCTCTGAAAAATAATAATCTATTTTCTTTTATTTCGAATCTACTTACCTGCTTTCCTAATCT